CTCTAGTCTTAGCCACCCCACCAAAAGCTTCCACGGTCAATTCAAGTCTTCCTCCATGCCTCCCCCATCCTCATTGGTGCCACCATGCTCAAGACATGAAAAGTTAAGAAAGCTTCTATCCCCCTGCCAAAAGCTAACATGGTTCCTCTTCATATGCTTTGTAGAGCCATCTAAGCTTCCCCATGCTAGCCAAGCTCTCCTCATGGCCTCCCATGACTATAAAAAGCCTCAACCCTAAGCCATCTAAACCACACTAAGCTTCCTAACTAGCCATCCAAGCCCTTCGCTTCCAACATAAGAAAATCCTCCCACTAACCTAAGCAACCCTTTCCCACCTTCCTCAGGTTGTGGTGTTTGGCCTTGGCACCAACCTTTCCCAAAAATTGAAATTAACCTTCCAGAAAAGCTTCATAGACACTAAGGGTCTGTTTGGGGCAGCTGCAGCTTATCCAAATAATCTGTTTATCCTATTATGTTGTTGATAAGTAGCTGGTCCAGGTAAGTTATCCATCTGTTTGGTTTGTGCGTTTGGAAAACAGATGATTCTAGATAAATAATCATTATGTCTCCGTTTTGGATAAACTGTTTAGCCGTTTGGTTTATACGTATGAAAAACAGATGATTCGAAGTTTTTCCTAGAGTACTTAAAATAAAAAATTCTTTAGATTAGCAAGAACATTAACACCAATCCATTAACACCAATAAGAATAAAATAGATCTATTCAATCTCCAAAAAGTAGCAAGTGAATCTCGAATACCAATTCCTTCTGGATAATTGATTGATTCACAATTAAAATTCTTCTTAAAAAAACATTGTACTTAAAACAAGGAAATATTTGTACATACAAAAGCAATTCATTTGAATTTCACACATGTAAATATTTGATCAAACAATACACAAAGGGAAATAGCACTGATTCCAAGTTCGGCATAATATAATACAACTACATACCTATAGTTATAAACAAGAACTACCCATCAGTATATTAACACCTAGCTTGTTTAACTGTCTACATAAATCACAAAAAATTCACCTAGGAAAAATAATTTTAATTGCCAATTAGCAAGGCTTGTTTTAATAAGCTGGACATCAAAATGAAAACTCATAACCTACAAACTATCCACATAAAGCTGCAACAAAAATACGATTCATCGATGACAAAGTTATAAAGCCAGACACTAAAAGTTGTAGAAGAAAGAATAAATTGCAACATCTAATTTAAAATGAATATTGCACTCAGGCTATGCTTTCATTTTGTATCAAAATTATAAGAAGGTTAGAATATTGCAATCCTAAATAGTGTCCAATAACAGGCACAAAAAGAATTTTGAATAAAAACCACGGACTCTTATCAAATACTATTCAAGAGTTAGAATATTTGGTAAGCTCGATAAGAAGATGAGCAGAATGTTTTGTTTTTCCCTTCCCTACAGATTGCAGAGGAACTCCGAGGACTTGATTAGGATATTTCGGTACGAACGAAGAGGAATGAAGAGGAACAAAGTGGAACGAAGAGGAGGTAGGGTGTGATACTTACCTTTGGTCGGAACGGTGCAGAATGATGGGAAAGAATGGGAGTTTCGGTGGTCTCTGTAACGAGCGATCCCTTCGTTGCCGTGGAATTCTTTGTCGCGGGAGAGAAGGTGAGTGATCCCTTCGTTGCCATCACGGATTTCTTCATCGCGGGAGAGAAGGGATTGTAAGAGATCCGTGCGCGAGGAAGTAGCAGAGGAGAAGATGAGGGGCTCGAGCGATCCGGGCGAAAGGAGAGAAGAGTGAGAGTTGTCTTTCGCTCGAACGAAATGCGGATCACCGGCTCCTACCTGTGATCTGCGTCTAGTGTAAAATTGCGAACTACGTTTTTGAAAAGGCCCCTTAAACGTGTTTTTCAAATAGCAGGTGGCATTTTCAAAACGCCACCGCTGTGAATACCCTTAAGCTCACTCCCTCAATCAAAATCAAGCCTTCCCGCAGCCTCTACCATAGTCCAGCACCAAACCGGGGCCCCATTGGGTTTAGCTCATAGCTAGAATCAAATCCAATCCAAATTGAAGCAAGGAGAAGTTGCACAACCTCAAGGCGAGACTCTCTCTCAAGCCTAATTGAGATCTCACCTCTCAAGCGAAAGTAAGGGTTCAAACTTTTAAAAATGGCTATCGGTTTGGTCTTTTATGAAGAAAACTAACAATGCATGTCCATTTAACCGTATAGATAGGTTTGTCTCACTTAGATGAAGCTATAAACAAACCCCACGCGATTTTGTAGAGTGTAGGCCGAGAGCTTAGGGTTTGATAGCAGACAGCTCTCGATTCTGTCTCGCGGTGATGATTAACGGATGTCGTTCGTTTTCGAGTACGAACGGCAAGGATCGAATAGGGCGGACCGCGAGGGTAGATCAACGCATCATATCAGCACCACCACAGCAGCCAGCGTGGAAAGGGGAGCCAACCACAGAGTCTCACGCGGCCATTTGACAAATTTGATGTTCAAGTCAGCGCTGACTCGAATAAATATGAAATACATATTGATTCTCTGTCGCGCTGGGATGATGAAAGGATGTTATATGTTTCCGTGCATTAGAAACGGGTGGCAGAGATCTAACAGGACGGAACGCCTCAGCAGCCAACGGGTGAAAGGGAGCCAACCACAAAGTGTCACGCAGTCGTTCAAAAAATCCGATGTTCGAGTCAGCACTGACTCAGAAAAAAGTATGTAATTTGGATTTTCTAAATTTTCTAAATCAAGAAAATGTTTAAAATCTTTAAAAATTCATAACTCAATGATAAAAAATCACAAAAATAAAATAAAAATAACTATGAGCTCAAGGAATAAAAGGGAAAAAATAAAAGAAAATAGAAATAATTAAATTACATTTAATTTTTAATTAATTAAATACTCCCGAAAGTATTTTAATTATTAAAAATTAAATATAAGGCGCCAAAATTTGAAATTTTCAGGGATAATTTTTTTCTTGCTTTTTTCAAAGTCAGGGGGCCACCCTAACATCAATATGCTAATTTACATTAAAACCTATAATTACTTTGAAATATAATTATAAAAAATAAGATAAAATAAAATAAAAATTAGAAAAATATGAATTAAAATAGAAATTAAAAAGAAATTTATCGTCGTAACCCTAAATGTTAAAATAGCAATTTTAACCTATGAAAAATCTAAAAATGAAGTTAGGGTATTAGGGGTAAAAGTGCAAAATAAAAATTTTGCATTTTAAGCCCAAGTTGACCCTCTAAATCTAAGTTAGGCACAAAATTAGCTTAGGTAACATAACTTTATTGACTTGTATTGGACCCAACCCAAGTAAGGTCAACTTAGATCTAACCCAAATTAGGTCGGACATATAAAGTTGTTTTACAGAAATATTTATGTTTATTCTGTTTTGCAGGAATGACAAATCAAATGATGCCTTAGATTTATTTTACATGTTATCTAGGGTGTGCTAACTCTGTTTTGCAGGACTGACATAAATATTGTAACAACTTAGGTTCTCCCCTTGAGTCGTCTTTTCTTTTGAAAGGGTTAGGCAGTGTTGTAGTCGACTAACTATAAACATCTGAACTATCCAAAGGAAGACGAAACACAAAGCGAAGGAAGAACCTCAACCGAAACATCAACAGTGATTCAGATTATGTCAGTTGAAGAGTCTGACAAAGCCTAGGGTCGGTAAACTTCGCCTTAGAACCTTGACGTTGTTCGTCTAGTTATGACGTAAATTCTCACTTTTAGGCTTCTGCATGATTGTATGTCGTGCAGTAAAAGTCTTAACATCCCAATAAAATGACAATAAAACATTAAAACCTTTCAAGTCAAAATTCAAGAGGACAAAATCACAGCCTTAATCGAGATTTTTCTTAAGTAACTATGGTTACTTCAGATGTAATTAATTACTTGCCCCTTTAGAAAGATGAAGGCCTCAGAACAGATACAAATATCTGAATCTTTGGTTATGGGTTGTTTTCGTAAGGTCTTCTTTGTGGATATGCTTCCAAAGTGTTTCAATCTGATCTCCTCTTGGACAAACGCTACGAAAGCCATCTACGCGAAGTTAACTTTAAGAAAGTTCTCCACACATCTTTTGTTTGTTTTCGTCACATTATGCCCTCGTCTTACGAATCCAATCTCACCCAGGTCATTTATACGATCTGGAAGAGATTTCACTAGGAAAAGGGATTATACGATGATAGACAAGCTGACGACCTCCCCCCCTGGCGAACAAAAAGACCCGAACAACAACGCCAAACTTAAAGAGAGCGACATGACACCAGACAGTTATACCACTGTTGAACTAGATGAGGTCTGATGGGTTGTTAAATTCAACTTGTCCTGAATGTGTTTTCAAATGCATATAATAGAACATATGACATATAGCAATTTTTTTTATATTTATTCATATGAACTTAATTTTGAAACTATATTAAAAATTACAAATACTAATTTATATAAAATTTAATTTATCATGTATATAGTTTAATGTAACTTTATTTTGAAATATTATATATATAAATATGACTATTTAAATTTGAATTTGTAAGTTTACAAAAATTATGTGATATGTAAATAATGATTAGAATAAATAATATTTATGCATTTCATTTTCAGATAACCAAATTCATAAGTATTTAGAATACACTTCATTTATTTTACACTGAGTGCAGCCAACCAAACAGAAAAAAAAAATTCCCCCACATTTATTTTACAAATAACCAAATAGCATCTCAAATTCAGAATATGTAACTCAATAAAGAGCTGCTTGTATGGTGCTACGTAAAACTAAATACTTATGAATTAAAGCATCATTAAATTACAGAAAGAGCTTCTTGTATAGTGCTAAGTAAAACTAAGATGCCTACATAGACACATCAACTAAATCACTCACTTCCATCTCATAGAATAATATCCCTTTTTATGATCAGAAAGAAATATTGCATAATTAAAACATGGCAAATTAAAGTAAGGAACCATGCATTCCAGATTCAGGTACCTCAGATGTGCATTCCGCATCCCCTTGATTTCTGCATCATTTTTCAGGGCTTTGGCCAGAGAGATGGGGGAAATCTTAAATAGAGTATTTTGCCCAATAATTTGTGCCATTTTATCTTGCTTTGTACTTTCAAGCCGAGTTTCTTGACCAATTTTTCCCTTTACTTTATTTTCAGGTCTATGAAAATGTCTATTAGAAGCAGAGTTGAATATGCTGACAATTGCGGCATTTACAGTTGATGAATCAAACAAAAGTTTTGCTCCTTGTCCGGCCAAACTGGGAAATAATAACAATAATGTATTACAGCAGATTTAAAAAGATAAAAATCTCTGGAGGTTATCCGTTGTGCACCATGTAGATGTACTGAATGGAGATATTAATAAAAAATAAAAAAATATAAACTTAGTTAATCAAAAAGCATCATATCTACAATAGCACTTATCCTTCATAACGCAAAAGCAAATTTTAGAATATACTAATTAATCTTATACAAAAATTGGCTTCTGCTAATCGACCAAAACACATAAGTTGATCTCTCAAATTCATATTAATTAACATCAACTAATTAATTAATTAGTTTAAAAAATTTAGCTTTTTTTAATCAATTTGATCTGATGGCTCAAGTAAATCTTAGGCCATCCATTAAAAATTTTAAGGAAAATTTACATACATACCACTCAATTATTATGTATTTACATATCTAACACCTAAAGTTCAATTTATTACATAAATATCACCTTATATATGCTTGAAATAATGCATTTTACTTTTTAAAAGTTAAAATAGTGGTATTTTTTATGTAATGTAAGAAGAAAAATTTAGGTGTTAGATGTAAATACATAGGAATTCAATGAACTGTCTGTAAATGCTCCAAATTTTAATTAGCTAGTAATCTTCTTAATAATGCCACTTAAATAGCTCAAAAAAGTATTTTGAGTCAGATACCATGTAGCAAACCATCTTATGTTTAAATATTAACTACATAACAGCTTCAGTTCATCTATCTAGTTCCACTAGAGTTTACGACTAAACCATGATATCACCAAGCGAAAACAATCATAATAGGCTCAACTCCACCACCCACTCCTATAATGATGATCTTTATGAAAATGGTTTTAATGATAGATCTCGTACTAATGATGAATTTTATGATGATATTTATGATGACACGCCACTTTTAGATGATGAATTAGTGTTTAATAATAATTATTGATACCAATATCTAAACTTACTAATGTCAATGAGATTGATTCAGACATATTACTGGAGGAGAAGAAAAATACTATGCATGATGAAATGCCTATGTATGATTACCAACGTCACTCAACATAAGACAATATCCACTTCAATTATATTTGCTTGCCATTACTTTACTTTAGGAGACAAATAAATATAGTTTGCTTTAGTTATTCCTATAAGAGACTGAATTTATATTGTCCTGGCCACCATCGTCGTCTAATTGATTGTTGGCCCACATTGTAAAGTTCTTAAAGGCGTATGAAATTTGGAGCCATCCAACACTCAAGATTTCAAATCCTTGGGTGTTATTTGGATTAGTTCATGCTCTTAAATGCATTGATGTTTCTTCCATTATAAGTAATTAAGACACATCCTCGACCCTCCCACAAACTCTACAGAAAAGAGTACTTTATTAGTTGGTGAATTGATCAGCTTGCATAACCAAGAAAAAACACTAGATGAAAATAAGCAATTAAAAGTAACTGAATCAAACTAAAAAGCAGCTAAACCAACCCTATTTTCAGACTTTTTAGGCCAATTTCCATTTATGATCGAATTTCTCTAATGTTTAATTTAATTTATTGTATTAGGTTGAATTAACTTTTTCGGATAATATTAACTTTGACTGTTCAATTAGGATCAGATTTCAAAAAGAAATAGAATTGAATTCAAAATGTTCGGCCATACCCTTATAACTCTATTTCTCATCCTTAAAGCTCCATTTCTACAAATAAGGAATGATGGACAATATTCAAGCTGGCATATTAAGGACTAAATGAATGTATGTAAATTATTTTCCATGATAATAAAGAGTTCTCTAGTACATTTTATGCATGCAGATCGCTCCGAGTTGTGTATGTAGACCACTCCAAGTAAGGTAAACAATCACCCCAACATTGTGCATGTGAAGTTCCTCCCTCTTCCACCTCTAACATTGGCACTTGATTTCAGTAAATAGTCTAGAAATTAATTAGTTATCAAACTGAGAATTTTAAATAGAAAACATGAACATGATTTGTAGATATGAAGGTTTCTGCCCACCCTAAATTCATCAAAATTAACTTAAAGTTTTCCACCAAGCTAAAATCTAAATTCCTCATGCACTCGCAAAAAATAAGTTCAACAACAGGTGGAAACACAAGTTTACACGAAACATATAATGCAGCCATATAAACAATATGATAAATAATAACATTATGAAAAAAAAATTTTGAGCTGCTATCTATAAACTTTGTCCTGAAAAAAGAACAATTAAAAAAAAAAAAAATCTTTCTCCGAGTTACAAGAATACCTTTCTATCTCAGAAAGAATCGCTTCATATGGACTCAATTGTACTCCAGCTTTTGACAGATGTCCCATTACTTCCTCGGTAACTTTTTTATTATCAACAAATAATGTGGCGCCAGTATTACTCACAACTAAGTATGAATAGAAGACAGGTGCATGTGAAACATCATTTCCTCTCTACAAAACCAAGTAAGTATTCATCAAATGAAATGCAAATAAAAAATACAACGACGAATGAGGAACAGAAAAAAGAACATTTGATCATTTGGTTTCAAATTTGCTAATAGCATAAGATTAGCACAAAAGTAGCAATCACAAAACTTAAGTGTCAACATGATACCTGAGTTAACTAATAATCTGATAGAAAAATAAATGTTATTATTTCAAACAGTGAATTACAATCAAGACTTGAACAAGTGCAGTTAACACTAGCAAACTACGAAGATCCCGCTAGGGACGGAGGAGATATCCCTTGGACGGCGGTGAGAGGAGGGGCTGGCTGGCCCAAGGGTGGTGCTGGGAAGGACCTGTGTCCCAAAGGAGGGGCAGCAGGCGGGTATGTGGCTCGGTACAAAGTGGGGAAGAGAGTGGCAGCAAGCTGGAAGGGTGCAGGTGTTTGATGTAACTTAAATTATATTTTTAATTTTTTCTACATTTTTAATGATTTTTGGAAGTTCTAGTAATTAAATAAATTCCATTTTAAATTGTTTGTTTAGTCAGCAAGCTTACCAAACTGAGACTCGTGCAAGCAGTATTGTTCAATTGATTATCTGAAAGCTGGGACCATTGCTGTCGCATAGGATCTCGTCAATAAGTATTATTGAATGATTTCTACTACAACTAAAATTAGACCATTGGATTATAGGTTCCATTAGATTTCAAACCTGAAATCCAATGGCGACTCAATCATCTTCAACCTCCACCGCCTAGAGCTAAACCAAAGACACGGTGGCTTCCACTTGGCATTCTTGCATGAATGGGAGGTGGCGATGGTTCGGGTTAGGGTAAAGGGGAGTTCAACCATCATAAGGGGGCTTCTCCAACATTGAAAGTGGCGCGACAGTGGAAGTCAAAACCACCAGACCATAATAGCCTACTCCCCATAAATAAATGAAAAATTAAAAATAAACTTATATGATCTCATTTTAAGGTGAATCGAGGGCTTCAATAAATCGAGGGTAGTTCCTAGGATATAGCTAGACTAGCTTAAGCTGCCAACAATTACTAAAACCTCTATGGAGAATTAAGTGAATGGGAGGAGAAAAATATCACCCGTGTGAGGCTATAGATGGACGTGGACACCTCCAACAAACCTTAAAGAGTCTTTTGTCCCTCTTTCCTAAAGACAACAGTAAGCCCCTACTTTTCTTTTCTTTTAAAGTATAAGGTCGCAGCTCTCATTCATGCTCCAATCCCTCATCTTTTTATTTGCATGATTTTAACATCATGGCCGCAGTTCTACTTATAGTTGTGTTCGACAAGTAAAGGAGACTATTATGGTCTGGGGGTAAGTGTGTTTAACCATACAAAAAATTAAATATAATCAATTTGGCCTAGGATAATTTAAGCCTTAATTAAACCACTAATGAATTAAATTTTGGACCATGCCATTGAAAATTTTGACTAGGTAGGTCCCAAGAATGTCTAGGGATTATTTTAAGAAAACATGTGTTTTTAATAATTTAATTAATTTGGCTAAATTAATTAAAATTTGACTAAACATATGCATAAATATGCCTTGACTTGACTGTGTTAATCATGTTTCAATTAAATTGTAAGTCAAAATTCACCAAAAAATGGCGCCAACAGTCACCATTAAGACTATAGATGACTCGCCATATTCCCCTTACAAAATCAACAACCTTATGGTGCAATCGAAAAATTTCTCACTGCATATCCTTCATTATAAGCACTAAAACACCTCAATGAACTCCTTAGCAACATGGTAGATTTCCTCAAATTAAAGTATTCGACCAAGGCGTGTTCTTAATTTTGAGCTTCGCTAAATGTGAGAGATAGGATTTTGGGGGAGGTTGCTCTTTTATTTAGTATTGATTATTTATTTATTTGCTTATCTTAGCGGGGGTGTTGAAGGAATAGGGAGTAAATTTTATGGATTTAGGGTTTCGAGTAGTAAAATTCCAAAGAGTTAGAGCTTCTATTGTAAGAACCAATTTTTTCTTCCTTCCACGCGCTTCGCACCGCCCCCAAATCATGTGTCATGCATTTAACTTTTTTTTCCATTTTTGCTTTGCTACTTCTGCCGCCATCTCGAATTGCATGAATTTCATGATTCCTTTTCTTTTCCTTCTCCCGCTATTTGGATGCACGAACCTTCTTTCTGATTATTGCATTTCTTTTTTTTTTTGGCTTCCTGCGCTTGGCACAGAACCGCATTCGCGACCTAATATGAGGTTGAAGGGTTAGGGCGACGTGTAGCTCCCCGATCTACAGCCACTAAAGCCTCCTTTCTTCCTCCCCTCTCTTACAACCTCCAAACCCCCTTCTCCCTCCATTTTGTTTATCTCTAACTGTCATTTGCTCCGAGATCTTGAGCTTGCATTTGAGGCATCGAGCTTCTTTCCAGCTAAACACTTGCAAGTTGAAGTAAAAGGGTTAAGGTTTATGGATTCAAGGTTTGGAATTAAGAGTAGTAAAATTCCAAAGAATTAGGGTTTGTACTATAAGAACCGAATTTTTCTTCTTTCCGCTCAGCCTTGAGCTGCCTCTAGATCACGTAAGTAGCGCAATTTATTTTTTTCATTCTTTGCTTTACTGCTTCCATCGCCTTCCTAAATCGTATGAATTCCATGATTTCTTTCTTTTTTTCTTCTCCCGCTATAAAGAAGTGCGAACCTTCTTTTTTATTAATCTTTTTTTTTTTCACCTTGTCACACTTGGCACAAAACTGCCTTCGCTACTTATATACGAGGCCGAAGGGTTAGTGCATCGTGTAGCTCCCCGATATGTACCCACTAAAGCCTCATTTCTTCCTCCCCTCTCTTACAACTGCCAAATCTCCTTCCTCCTTCCTCCTTCCTCCTCCATTTTGATACAGTCGCTAACTCTCCTTTACCCCAAGACCTTGAGCTTGTGATTGAGGCATCAATCAAGTTTCTCTCCCTAAGTTTGAATCCTCAAGGGTCTGTTATATTGTACCCTACAATTTTTTTTATTATTAATTTAATCTTATTAATTGTATGAACTTACGTTTTAAACATTTATGAATTTGAACCATCATGCTCAAATTTCTAATATCTCATTTTAAATCATATCCAGGTTGATTGTCAAAGATACTATTAAAGAATTTTGATATCAACTTTGGTTATATTACAACATCATCAGACTACCTATGTTGAAATCAAGTTATTAAATAATGTAGTTTTATACTCTCATTTTTATAGTTGGATATTCATTTGTATAGGACTTTTGAGAACTTCATTAGGCATTGCTAATTAAACTACTGATAAATCTGAAATCTAATCACTAGTGGATGAGATAAGTAATTGATATTTACTATGTGATAAATGTATCATTCAACATCAAGGATGTTATCCTTGTTATTTGAATTGGATTTCTAAATCTATGTAGGTTTGTCGGTCATACCCTTTTAAAGCTTATTACTATAATTGCAATAGATTTTGTTTTTCGCTCATAATGTATTTCATGATCATTCAGTCTTATTTTATTGGTGCATAAATTCATGTTTAATAACTAAATTTTTTAAAATCTTTCATATGTTAAATCACATTATTGTAAATTCATATTTGTACAAAAATACTAGTGGATATAGTATAATTATATTTTTACGATTTGATTATGATACATGAAATATATCTAACATTAACATATTACTATATTGATATTAAACACTCGTTATGGTTAGCCAGAAGTCCTCAAAGAAATCATTAGATCTTCGTGGGATTGGTGTCAACATTTATTTGTTTCAGAGCGTCATAAGAAAATAATTGTGTATAAATACAATATACATATATTGCACTTATATATTAACAGTATTAAAAGATTATAAGATTTTTATACGCATAAGCACACCTGAGATTGTAAGATAAATATTTACATAGAAATGAATGAGTTTGATGTTGTGAAAAACGACGGCAATAAAGTGAAAAGTCGGATCAAGAAAAATCGCAAAACAAAAACAGCTAAACACCGATTTATGTGGTTCGGCAAATTGCCTACGTCCACGAAGCTGCAAAGGATTTTATTACTTGAGGATTACACCCGTCGACCACTCCGACAATTACAAGAAAACTTCTCTCTCTCCCTCTTCCTCTCCCTTCACCTTCTCTCTTTCTCTCTCTAAACCAGAGCCACACCGAAGATGAACCAAAGAAGAAGCATGGGAACCCAAATCTTGAGAGAGATTACTAGAGGAGCTAGCATGTCTATTTATTAATTTCATCATGTCATTAGTCCCATTAAGAAATTAATCAAATAATTAATGAAATCCATTAATTTTTTTTTCTCTTCTACAACAAATCATAGAAAGAATTAAGAGGATTTAATTTAGCAATTAATTTCGAGTATCAAATCCATTTTGCTGTCAAACAAGAGAAAATGTCAATTTGAGCAATTGACCGGTTTTCATATTCGCAACAAATCTCTCACTTGGAGACTGGTGCACTGGTTGCATCATCCACTAGCTGTGTCACCCTTTTCTTCAAGTGTGATATCATCCATCTCTACAACTCAAAACCCTGGTTTTCATGCCAGAAAACCAACTAAAGTAGAACACAACTTCAGCTTCTCAGGAATAACGCCCTCAGTCAATATATCAGCATCAACATAGCTTTGTACCTCTAAGCTTTTTCCTGGGTTACTCTTGTATCTGCTAACAACTCCCACTGCATGAGCAATATACTACCTCAGTTGAAAGCCTTTTTCAACAAGTCTATTCTTGTATCTCTTACTGTCATCAAGTGCAGTCTTCACCCGGTACACAAATTTGTTGTGTAATGTCTTTTTTCCTGGTGGAAGTTCTGTCATCTCCCAAATCTGTTTCTCTAACAGGGAATCCATCTTTTCCAGTCGCTTTCCCAATAACAGAGAATGAAATTTCTTCCTATAAAGGTAGTCATCTATCTTCATTTTCCAGTAATCAAAATTTGTGTCATTAAACTTCTCGACCCTCGAGACCATCACTTCATCTTCGCCCA